ACACACAAAAACAACAACTACTACCACTACAACAACAACTGCAACTACAACAACAAGTGCAACAACAACTACAACTGCAACTACAACTACAGTTACAAATGCAACTACAAGAAACGACACCTAACTACAACTGCAACTGCAACTACAACAATAACTACAACTACAACTACAACTGCAACTACAACTACAACTGCAAGTGGAAATCCAACTACGACCGCAACTACAACTACAACCATCACTACAACTACAACTACAACTGCAACTGAAGCTACAACTACACCACCGCCACAAACAACAACAAAACAAACAAACAAACAAAACAAACAAACAAACAAACAAACCAACCAACCAACAAACAAACAAACAAACAAACAAGCAAACAAAACAAAACAAACAAACAAACAAACAAACAAGCAAACAAACAAACAAACACACACACAAACAAACAAACAATCAAAGAAACAAACATACAAGCAAACAAACAAACAAACAAACAAACACAAACACAAACACAAACACAAACACAAACACAAACAAACAACAAACAGCAAACACAAAACAACAAACAACAAACAACAACCTACAAACAAACAACAACAAACACCAAGCAACAAACAACAAACACTAACATACCAACAACCAACAACGAGCAACAAAAAGACAACACCCACACCCACACACCAGGCCCTTCTCAAACAGCATACCTTTACCAACGGATTTGGAGGCCTCATCGTGCATTTTTGTAGAATTATGGGATTCATTGTTGTCATCATGATTTTAGTGCTTGCCATGCCCGACATTCTTTTTGATGTTGCTTTTTCATTTCTTGCAGTTTGTGGCATTAGTTTGTTGATTTTGTTGTTTTTGCATTTCGTGCACGTTGTTTGCATAATTGTTGTGTTTGCATGCTGTTTTGCACTTTTGTGTGTGTTGCTTTGTTTTTTTGCATTTTTTGCATTTTGTTGCATTTGTCTGCATTTTTTGCAAGATTTTGCATTTTTTGGCACTTTTTGCATGTTTTTGCATGTTTTTGCATATTTTTGCACTTTTTTGCATTTTTTGCACATTAGATGCAAAAATAAGATAATTTGAGATAATTTGAGATAATTTGAGACAATTTGAGATAATTTGAGGTAAGGTCTAAACCCCATGGATCTGGGACCCCTAATATAATCAATGATCAACCCGGTGATGAGGCAGATTGCGAAGCTGTACAAGGAAATTCATGTATGAGCAGCACGCTGCCAAAGGGATTACACTTAGAAGTCATGAACATGCAGAGCAGAGACACAAGTTTTCCTTATTGGCCGTACAACGAGTACACAGCGTTTGGATCTAACATTCACCACCAAGACTTGTTCCATACGTCGAAAGCACTGGTGAAGATCCTACGACATCAAATTGGCCAAAAGTGGGGGAACCCTATTCCTTGCAATGGCGGAGGATAGGTGAACATCGACCACATCCTGAGTCGCGAGAGCGCGTTCCCGCAGGATCGGTGCAAGAAGAGCGACAAATTTCAAATGGTTGCCGAGTGCATCAGATCGGAGGATCGGAAAGCACGAAAGCCAAGACTGCAGATCCCTGCTGCGAAGTTTGATCAGGAGATCGACATGGAGACGATGGCGGGTCTCATAGCGGCTGGATGGGCGAAGAACGACATTGACTGGATTTGTCGTGAGCATGGCGGATGGTGGCAACCATGGTGCATTCGAGCGTCATCAGGGCATGCGGATCTCGGATTCGCTCGTCCTGCTGAACTTTGCAACATCTTGTTCCCGAACATGTCCGATCGCTTGGGCGGAGCATTTCACGTGACAAAGCCATCAGCCCTGGAAGGTATCATTTTGAGAGGTATCGTTCCTGGCGGCTCAACGACAGTGCGCGAAGGCTGGCAGTACACTTCGGAGTATTTGCACCTTGGGACAGCGAAAACATCTCGACCAAGACTGCGATGCACGACGTCAAAGAGGGAGATGACCTCATCGCCATCTACGTGCCGACAAGGAAGTTGTCCGTGTACCAGTCGGGAGGAACGATCGTTGCCTTCGAGACCATTCCCTTCAAAGAGATACGGGCAATCTGGAGCTTCAAGTCATCGAAGAAAGGGCCTGTGAAAGAGGTTAGGCGGATCTACTCCCGCGCCGTCGAGAGCGAGATCTGTCCAGGATTCAAGGACGCTGTGGGCGTGACCCCGGCGGACTTTGATGGAAACCTCAACAGTTTCCTGGACGATGAAGACTCAGCGGATGCCGACATCCTGAAGAAGATGGTCGTCGATGCTTGTGTCAACATCGGAGTGCCCGAAGCCTTGCTGGGCAAATCGTTGGTAGAGACCAGGGATTTGCTCAGCAGATTCATCGTCTACCGCGAGGACGGCCCATCAAGCATTTCCAACAGAGTATGCCCAGCATGCGCTATCATTATTCCAAGGGGATTTTGCTACTGCGCGGCATGCGAATGTGAGTTCATTTCCACCGGCAAGTTCGTGACCCATGTGGATGACGTCGAGCCAAAGCCATCCGACACCACCAATGTGACAGAGGAAGTGAAACAAGCTCAGCGAGAAGCAAAGAAAGATGCTGAGCGATTCGTCGCCGAGGAAGAACGACCCGACACCCAGGAGATGAGTGAGGAACGGTCTGCAGGCAGATCGTACATCCCGTCGGATATCGGGACGGACATCGACGATGAAGACGCGGGAGTTTGTCCGGACAACCCAGAGGAGGATGCGGACGCAATTCATCTCCTGCAAGTCAAGGCCATCTGCGTTGACGAAGCCGGCGAGGCATCATACCTCTCTGGATTCATTGGCGTCGTACTTTTCAAAGTATGGAAGGTGTTCGCCAACAACGAGGCAGATGTGGTCAAGGAACCTGGCAAAGAAGACGGACTATACTGTCCCTACATCTCGATCAACGGGAGGGACGATTGGATTTTCAAAGATGTTGATGAACAGAATATTCCAATCCCGCCAACCTATGAAGAGGTCACTGCCGCTCCTAAGTTCAAGAATGTGAGGTTCAAAAGCGCAAACCGCAGGGACAAAGAAATGTTCTTTTGGTTCCTGTACCGGATTTGGACCGCCTGCAATAACCTTGGTATTAAAGCAGAGCAGTTCAGAGGTGTCAGCCATCAGAAGGACGTTGCCTTCGTCAGCGACACAATTTTCCGTTGCATCGCCCTTGGCCTCAACTGCGATTACATGACCTTCTACCGAACAGATGTGAACATTGGACGCAAGTTCTTGAAACTTGAGCTTGGCGCCATCATTTGCATTCAAGGCGTCAAAGAGGTCGACACTCCTCTTTTCCAATGGTGCTATTCACGCAATATACATCTGCCCTCGCGCTTTATCGAGAAGATCAATCGGACCGAGGAGACACCAGATTCTCTGTTAGAAAGGTTCCGGCGGAGGGCGAGTAGAAAGGCCACCGCAGAAGCATCACACTGGTGATCAAACATTTTCTTTACGACTTCCTCTACGTGGGGGGCCAACTGGAATTTGCAGTTATATACAAAGCGGGATCACGATACTCATCGTGAATGATATCATGGCCAGCCGTGGTGGTACTCGTCTACTATTCTGGAGATGCGCGTGTGAAGCAGTTGACGCAAATCAGCAACAGTAGGGTCTACAAGAGGTCTCGTGAATTTCCCGCACGGGGTGCGTCACTGAGGGTCGCCGGACAGCTGCCCGGGCGCGACACAGATGGATTGTCTACTACGGCGCCCTTCCTGGAGCAGGATTTGCCTTCGAGCGACGACGATAGCAGGATGTTCGACCAGCGATGATAGCTTGATCTTTCGACCGCGCTTCAAAGCAAGCTGCGCCTGACACATTGCGTGCATCAGCTGTGAAAAACGCTCGTCATTCGGATAGAGATTGGGAAGGTAATGGGCGCTTCTTCTATTGCGCGAAATATGGGAGTGGGAATTGCGGATGCGTTTGTTGTCGAAAGTTGTAGCCTCAGGGCAAGGGTTCAAGTTCCTTGTAGATACAAAAGTCTTGGAAACCAGCACGGCGGTCCAAAGGGGCGGGATGTGGCGTCAGAATGCGGCGTCAGCCAGGAATGTGGCGTCATGGAATGTGGCGTCGGAATGCGGCGTCAGCCGGGAGTGCGGCGTCAGGAGGAATGTGGCATCAGGGAATGTGGCGTCGGAATGCGGCGTCAGCCAAGAATGCGGCGTCAGGGGAAAATGTGGCGTCAGGGAATGTGGCGTCGGAATGCGGCGTCGCCCAGGAATGCGGCGTCAGGGGTGAATGTGGCGTCAGGGAATGCAGAGTCACAACGCGGCGTCAGCCGAAAATCTTGCGCCAGAGAATGTGGCGTCGGAATGCGGCGTCAGCCGGGAATGCGGCGTCAGGGAGGAATGTGGTGTCAGGGCATGTGGCGTCAGAATGCGGCGTCAGCCGGGACTCTTCAGGGGAAAATGTGGCGTCAGGGAATGCAGCGTCACAGGTTTTTGGAATGCAGCGTCAGAATGCGAATTCAGCGTCAGGTGGAAAAGCACTGGCCCTTTTGCGGCCGCCCTGTTTCTACAATAGACGACAGAGAAAGGGTATCCTTATTCTCGCCTCTCACTCTCTACTGGTGGATCTAGCGGGGGTTCCCTTTAAATCACCCCAAGGTTATGTTTTCCCCTTTCGGGGTGTTTTTCTTCAAACCCCAGAAAAGGGGTACCCCTAAGTTGACACCGTTAGGGTACCCTTGTCTTGAGGCCTAAAGGAATCCACCTAAGAATATCCGAAAGGTCGCATGAGGGCTTGCCCTGAACACCTCCAAGCCACCAATCCAAGCCACCAACTAGACGGAAATTGCGGGTGGTGCTTTACGTACGTTTAAATCACATTGCCACTAGGTGTGGATTGGTGGTTGGGGCATTTGAACCCCAAAACCAATTGACACACAGGGAAGGTTTCCCGCCCACCGCCGCCCACGTCGACGTCAAACGATACATGGCAAGGTGATGAAAGGGGCCCGGGGTCCGGTGGGTTGCCAGGAGGCACCCACAGCTCCACCCGGGCAGCGACTGCTTCGTCTTCGAGACCAAGCGCATCCCCGCCATGCTGCCGGCGCGTATGCAAAATCGGTGTGTTGCGTTGTTAGGAAACGGACCCCCAAAATGGCGCAACAGCTTTCCGGTTGGTTTCCCTTTACAGCCACGGAAAAGGAATTCCTTAAGAGGGACACACCCACATGTTTCTCGAAATCTGGTAAGCTTTAAATGTTTTGTTCGTGTTTCTCCTTGAAATTTGTGTTTCTCGAAAGGGGTTTTGAAGCAACCTCAAAGTCCTTTTGGTTACCCTTGCAACTAGTGAAAGCCCCCCCAAATGACTTTGAGGTTGTCACTTTCGATTGTTTTTGGGGGAGGGGGGGCGGGGGGCGAGTTGTTTCATTTAAGCCGCACACTTTGAAGGAGGAAGCAGGTTCGATTTTTTGCCTTTGTGGCGTGGTTTCCCTTCAAATCGCCAGTTAAGGCTCCGGAATCACCTTCGGGTCCCGTCCCAACGGGGAAAAAAGGCGCCGTGAGGCCTTGGGCTACGTCTTCATCGGTTCCCCGCCCTTCGGGCAGCTGCTGCTGGAGGCCATGAAGACGACAAGTCGCTCGACTCCCCGAAGAGAGAATCAGCGACCAACTCGACCTATTTAGCAGGGCTCCTTAAAAGATACATTCTGCCCATTTGAAACATGTCTGTTTCCACTAAAATAAAGGGAAACCACCATTGACAAGGCAATGTTCAGGTGAATAATGTAAGGATCCCTGTTTAGTTCCCCATTTTGGTCACGTATTTCAAGTGGCACATTCAGCCCCAAATTTGAAAACACCAATTTCGGTGGCCCAGAATTTTGTTTTGGGCAATGTTCAGGGGCCCCAAGAAGGGATCACTTTGCCTTGGGCCTGAGGTGGTTCGGAGCCGCTCGTGTGGAACCGGCACCTGACCTTCCACCTGGATTTGCAGCGTAGGAAGTTCGATTGGAAGGACAACTCCCACGAGAGCCAGGAGACGAGTTCTTGAACGACATGGAACTGGATTTGTCTTGAAAGAGGACATGGAACAAATGGCACGCTGATTTTCATTTTGGTTCCCCTTTCAAACCAAGCAAAAGGGGGGTACGCTTCGCCTCAAAAAAGGCGAGACACCCAATTGGGGAGTGGCTTTGGGTGACCGCCTTTTGATGTGAGGAGTTTGTGCTCTACAACAACATCGCGGGCTTCGGCCTGTCGGAGAACGGGATCGTTTTTTCCACGCGGAAGGCCACCCGAGAGCTGATGGAAGAGGTGGGGTTGTCTCAAGAGATTCGGTACCTCCAAAAATGATTTGGTTGTTTCGTGGCTTCCCTTCCGATTGGTTCAGAACCCAAAGAAGGGCAACCAGCTCAAAGACCCTCCCAGGTCGCGACCAGCTTCACGTACCCCTCTTCAGTGCTGCTGGACAAGCTGGGCCATTTCGTCGATCTGGAGCAATGTTTCCAGGAGAGTGGGACGATTGTGGCCGTGGTCATGGTCCTACTTGGCACCAGGCGACACTGTCGCTGGCGATGTTGAGCCCTTCCTGTGTTCCTGTGAGTCCTTCCTTCCTTCCCCTCCCAAAAATGAGTGTTTCTCAAGATTGGGGAGCCCTCCGGTTTGGTTTCCCTTCCATCGCCCATCTAAAAAAGGGCTCCGATTCCTATTTCGAGTTCCCAAACGTTGGCCTTCCACCGGGGAACCGGCCAGGTCGGGAGGCGAGTCCAGCACCGTCATGGGTTTCGACCTTTGGAGACCCGACAGCGACGCGCCGACGGAGCTTTGGGCGAACCGGGGCCGGCGCCGCATGTTCACCCTGCCCCCGAACTTGCAGGGGAAGGTCTTTGGCCCCAGCATCGTTCCTGGAACGCGATGACCGTACCTCTATGCATTTCTATCTACCTATCTATCTATCTCTATCTATCTATCTCTATCTATCTATATATCTATCTAATCTAATCTAATCTAGTCTAGTCTAATCTAATCTAGTCTAGTCTAATCTAATCTAATCTAATCTAATCTAATCTATCTAATCCCCTCCAATCTAATCTAATCTAATCTATATCTAATCTAATCTGAATCTAATCTAAATCTAATCTAATCTAGTCTAATCCATCTATCGATATGTACACTATATGATATGTACTAGTTGCTACATGTGAGCCAAGACGTGAAATCATGAGTCAACTTTTTATTTGTTCATCTCCTTTGGGCAGTACACCACACACCTTGGCGCCCTTTTCTGCTTCGTTAGGTGGATGTACTACTCCAAACAGTCAGCCCCAGACCATCTATGGCTTTTTTCTCCAGGGTCACTGGTTGCAACCGTCAGGTCGCCCTGAGTTGATGGTTCGGATTGGTGGTTCGGATTGGTGCTTTGGGATTTGGGTCCCTGCTTCCTGTAGAGAGATGGGACAATTTCTCCGGAAAACCACCAAAGCACCGATTCAGCTCCAAAGCACCAAAGCGGGAAGCTGAAAACGCGGAGTTTGAGGTTTTGGCGACCACCTCACTGCCATTCGCCGCTGGAGACTGCTTCGGCTGGGCTTCTTGAATGGATCTTTTTGTTTTCCCTCTTTAAAGATGGAAGTGGGGGAGGGGTGACCCCGGGAGATCTCCATTCATATTTCCGTTTTGCTTTGGGAAGACGAGACGAATACAATTGGGGACTTCCCCCCCCCACCCCCCACCAAATGGGAGGGGGATCTGTGAACCTTCAACAGAGTCAGGTCCTCAAACCCGGGTAGTTGGAGGGTGGTAAGAGACAATCCCCTTGCCATAAATGGGTGTGGACATCCGCCCTGTCAAGTCTTTACATGGTTCTGGGTAGACGCCCCTAAGTCGTAGGCAAAAAAAATACGCTCAGGTGATATCCCCAACAGCATGCGGTGCTCTT